GATGTCCGTGGGTCCTTAGCTTGGGAACCCTGAACACAGTGCATGACGCCCACCAACCCCAGACCCCTGGAGGTACCACGCTGTAAACACAGAACTCTTACTCGCCTTATGAGTCATAATCCTCCCAGTTCTCAAAACACATCATCAGCTTGATTTTCTCCTTGGCTGAGCCAGTATGAGCCTCCCATTTCTTCCCACACCGTCTGAGCCTTCAGGCCCTACCAGGTGGCCCCACTGCAGAGAGGTAGGACTGAGTGGTCACGTAGGTGTGTGGTTACCGGCCAGAGGGAGGGTGGCTGGCCATCTGGGACACTGTGCCCAGGCACACTCCCTGCCATGCAGGCTGGCCCTGAGCCATGGTGTTTAGGCCAAGGGGAGGGGTCCTGGCTGGTTTCTGTCACATGTCTTCCCGTGTCTAATGTGCAGAATTTGGAAACTACTTGCTGAAGGCAGGATAGCCATGTGCACAGCTGTCCGCCAGGGTTCATCCCAGAGCCCAGCCCCACTGCCTGCCTCTTTCCAGCCCATCATAAAATGGTCAGGACAAAAGGAGTTGCCCAGCCGGGGGGGAAGCGAGCCGGGACCTAAATGATGGGTGACAAGCCGGGACTCACACTGCAGTGCCCACATGTGCTTGATGGCTGCCTGCCTTGGCCTGTGGGGCTGGCAGGGATGAGAGTCACTCTTAGTCGCAAGCCCAGGGCCGGGTGGTGGAATCGGCTTCCCTGCAGCTGTGCTGTCCCGGGTGGCAGAGCCTGGTGCCTAAGTTCCCATTCACAGTTTCTTTATAGACCACCGGAGTGGGTGTTCTGGAGGGCGGCAGCTCAACCATAAGAACGGGCAGGCCAGAGGGCAGGTGGGGCTTAGCTTACCTTTTAGAGTTCTACATGTGACAATTCCTTTATAAAAGTATAGTTTTCTTTAAAAATTGTGTTCTTCTTAAATGAGATATTCTTATTAAAAATATAGAAATAGTATATAGGTGCATGAAATAAAAGAGTAAGCATGCCCCTTTCCTCCCACCAATTCTATTGTTCACAGACGAGTTTGATCTCTCTCCATGTATACATATATATACACACACACACACACACACAAAGACATTCTGTATATATGCATGCCATACATACATGTCTCTATATTCATATATATTCATATTAATACATATATATTCATATAAATAGATTAATGTATATATGGACATGCATATATACAAAATGTGTATATGCATTTTTTTTCAACACTAAGCAATAATTTTCAGCGCTTGTCTTTACAAGGTGTTCTCCCTTCACCATATCAGGCACCTGCTTTCCAGTCTGTCTTTCTAGAGGTTTCCAGCAAAACCTTTCCAGGGACAGTGGAGAGTTTCCAGCAGCCCTGCCGAGAGCCCCACACTGCACACGCAGGCCTTGTCGCCCGCTGGGAGGGAAGAAGCGCGGCACGGTGGCTGCTCGAGGGACCACTGAAAGAGGCGGTCATTGCACCGCAGCTGGAAGCAAACGGGGAGAATGCCTGAGTCTCACCCGCGGACACTCGCTGAGATCTCAGCAGCCACGCGCCGCGAGGGCCGCTGGAACGAAGCAGCTGCGAGTGGTCGCATCCACCCAGACGGCACTATCTCGCCTGGGGACAAAGTTCAACTCGTATGGATGTGTGTGGTTGTGGGAGCAAAGGCACAAAATTACCTTTGGAGACTGCGGACATAATTTACCATCACGGTGTCTTTGTCTGGACAGACAAGAACAATTGATAGAAAAAATGCTAGAAAATCCAGCACGCTCAGCACTCTGTGCCCCTCAGCCAGGCACGGGAGACCAGGCGGGCCTCGGCCTCCGCTGTCCAATCACAGACCAGGTTCCCTGGCTGTCCAATCACAGCCGTGCTTGCCCTCAGGTGTCCAATGACAGCCCGGCGTCCTCGGCCCCTCTGGGCGCGCTCAGCTGGGTCTTTTCCACCCAAGGCGCCACCTGCTCCGGGCTGCGGGGCTCGCGGGGCTCGCGGGGCTCGCGGGGCCGCAGCCCTGGTGATGCCGGGACGAGCCGAGCTGCTCTCTCTGCGGCCGGGCGCCGCTCTGCCGCCGTGTGCAGGTGGGGTGTGGATAGCGTGTGCACCATCCCACACTCCCAGCCATCCCACCTGCTCTGGTTTGGAATCACACTTCTCTCCGTGGGAATTTGTTTGTGTTCTCTATTTTGCTTACTTGTTCCCTGTCTGTTTCCTCCACTAGAACTAGGCTTCTATGAAAATGGGGACTCCCGGCCATTTTTCTCAGCGTGGTACCCCAGTATCTTGCGAAGGATGCCGGGCTCAGGGTAGACGCTCAGTAAATAGTGTGGGTGACTGCAGACGTGGGTACTGTATCCCAGTCTGCAGAGGGCTCATGGGAGCGGAAGAGGACTAAGTTCTTGGAAAACAAGCGTGTGTGCGTGTGTGTGTGCGCCTTAGCCCAATCAGATGCTGTCGGTCAGGGGCCCTGCAGACCCTCAACGGTCTTGGCTGGGTAGTCAGCTCACTCCAATGTCCCAGGTCGAAACGTGGGCTGAGAGAAAGACCCAGAATCCCAGGACATCATCAACAGCTTCAACCACCCTGTGGAGGCTGGGAGGATTCACAAATGGTGTGAGGATGGGAGTATTTCCAGCCAGGCTTGCCACGCAATGGGTCTCTGCCCTCTCTGATAAGTAATGGAAATTAGCTAAGGGTCTTGGCTGAGGGCCTGACACAGCCACCTTGCCCCAAAGCTTTTTCTCTGATTGGCTCTCTGGGTTCGCCTTGGCTGAGGAAGAAGCCGGAGTCCAGAATGCCCCGCTCAGCTCAGGAGGTGGCCTGTCGGGCCACGGTAAGGTGGAGTTGTCAGCCCGTACTGAGGTTTTAGATGCTTTGGAACATTGGCCAAGAGAAACACTTTCTCAAGCCATGGTTGTGCTACTACAAATTGTTCTTCCTTTAAACACACACACACACTGCATGAGTACATTTATTTCCAAAATGTGAAATTCCCTAGTCAATAATTTGTTCTACTCCGTTTAGATGCATAGATACATTCTTCATCCTCATGCTGATAAAAAAAAAANAAAAAAAAAACAAAACAAAACATGTTACATTCAAATTGATGTGGTGTTGCTTTTATTAACAGATTTCAGATGTAAATGTCAAGAAAATTGATATTAATTTGCTTACATGAGTACGTTCCTCAAAAAAGCAAACCATTGATTAGACTTCCCTTAAATTAATCTTGAGCTTCTTGGCAGGAAGTTTGCTGATTTAAAACGTGGGTCTACAGCAGGAAGAACCCATGGAGCCTGCGGTGAAGTCAGCGGCAGCAGAACAGTGCCATCTAGTGGCTTCTAGAGTCACGGTTCTCCAGAACAGGCGTGCTCTGAGCTCTGTACCACCCAGGGTATCTGTCATTTTAACGTCCAATGAGTGACCCCCAGATTTAGCACAACTACAGAATCACCTCTTTTCTCAAGCTGATGGAGCCCAGCTGTTAATTTTAAGGAACGGAATGGTTATGGACCTTTCGAGTCCTTTACACGCACATGTCTCCAGCCTTTGGGAGGTCAGACAGGCCGGAATTGAATAAATGAAAGTGTTGCCAAAAGGTAAAAATAAGGTCAAAGATGATTCATTGATGAAAGTCCAGGTTATCCTAATTTCTTTACATGTTATTCCAACTTGTATTTTCTCTGAAAGTCAAAATATCATCTTAGTCAATTAACATTCATTGGTGATAACACTTATTGGTGAAGTTGAACTATGTATCTTGAAGTTGACATTTATGCTGTATATCAGGTGCTGTTCTACAGGCTTTCAAAATTATTCAAGCCTTGAACTTCTGCAACCCTGCTTTTTAAAGGGGAAACAGGTTCGGTGAGTCAGTGACCCACCTGAGATCACCTAGATAAGGAATTATGGGATTAGGATGTCAACCCTTTGGGCTCCTCTGTTTCCATGCTCAGAATCCCTTTGCTAGACTATGTTACTCTCATGTAAGCATGATCATCCATGTTTGGTCAATATAAGAAGCGATATTTTTCATAAAACTTTACTTTTAACCAGAATATGTTAAGTGACAAGAACTATACCCATTTATCATTGACCGTCATCTTCCAGTGGTTTGACAAGCTTCCCCAAGCAGTGTTGCCAGCACATGAGATTTACCTGCAAGATTTGCCTTTAGATCTAAACTAAACAGAAACGGGTGACTTCACAGAACTTTGGAAACAATCTCCACACATCAAGTTTTGCTTACAATTGAATAATAAAAACGTGAATTTTCTTGCTTGTTAGCTATGTTTGGGGTAAGTTGTTTAAAGCTCTAGACTTGCCCGGCCTAATACGATAGTCTCTAGTCACATGTGGCTATGTAAAACTTAATTTTAATTAACTAAAGAAAGATGCAGTTATAAGCTCAGTTTATCAGCTGTCCTTGCCACATTTCGGAGACTCAATAGTCACATGTGGTGAGTGGCTGCCATGCTGGACAACACTGCCCCAGACCAAAATACTCAATGACTTCACTTTCCTGAAGCTCAGTCTGCAGTATTATAATGGGGCTAAGATTGCTAATATCATTATCATAGCACTGTGGCTGGTAACATGATAGAATGCATGAAATGCTTTGCACATGGTAAACGACTATACTTATGTACATTTGGTGTCTTTGATAATTGCTGAACGGTGTTGTGAAATCATACAGTCTTTGCAATACTAAGACTTTGGCCCCAGGATCTTTTAATCACCTTAGCACTTTTTCAGAAGTTGAACTATGAATCTTGAAGTTAACATGTATGCTTTGTTCTTTAAGACCGAAGTCCACATTCTGCAGCAGTGATAATTTCTGACAGATTCTCTTACTGTGGAAGGTACCATTCCATACACATATAAAAAGCGAAATGTATCACTTTACCATCTGGACCATGTCTATTAGAATTTAATAGGAAAAAAGTACAATGACCTAGAAGCTGGTCAGAGTCATGATCCTTCGCCCTGTAGAAAATGGATTTTGTGGATCCCAGAGAAGGTGAATGAGTAACGTGCTCGCGTGTGCTTCATGGGGTCAGTGATAACCAAGTTCAGTAACTGGTGACAGGCTTAATGACTAACACAGGGCCAGCTCAGATGAAAGAGAGAATGGTACTTATTGGTACTGACTGTTTTTCCTGTACCTCAATTGGTTCCTTGTAGGGAGCTGCAAATGTCTGTGACCACTGATGATTGAGGTTTTCATCCAGCACAATGGAGAGAAGTCTGCGGAACGTCCTTGTGGTTTCCTTCGGGTTCCTGCTCCTCTTTACAGCCTATGGAGGTCTGCAGAGCCTGCAGGTACGTGTTTCCGGTCACCCTGTTACCTGAACTTCTGAACAATTTTTAGCCTCCAAGAATCCCCGTGGTCACAGACGATAATGAATTGGAATTTTAAAAAATCTAATTCCGCTAGTGTCTCTTTTTCACTCCGCGCCAAATCCTCTAAAACACCCAGTGGTTCTCAGATGAGTCCTGCAGTGTGCAGTTCCCACTCACGTCGGAATAGGATTCCACAGCTGCGAGGCATGCCTTGCTTTTGGACAAGGACAGCAGGGGTCTTGGGATCGTGATTTGTTGGGACAGTCTTTGCCTTTGTGTGGTCAAAAGAAGACACAGGAAGAGCCATTGTGAATTCTATGGTTCCATGCCCTTGACTTTGCGTTGATGGGCAGTCATGTGAATGTAACAAATTTCCCTAGACCTTAGAGATTCCAAGCCTACTCTGTGCAAAACTGTGAACTTGGGCATAATGGTCTGTCTACACTTTAACTCCTTACAGCATGCTTTCCACCATAGGTCCGTCAGCCCATGAAAAAGCCTAATGACATTCTCTGAAAGGCTGCAGCATTCTTCATACGCACCGGGAAATAGATCTGGCACGTTTTCTCAAGCTAGTTACATTTCAAGTCTGATCTTTACCTGGATTCCAGTCTGAATTCCAGGGAATTCCAAGGGCTGGTCAGGAAGTAGGGCTGTGGTTACTTGCCTGGGTGATTCATTCCCACAATGTTGTACCCTGTGGACTGGGATAGTCACAAAACATTTCAGAGCTTCTGATGAGAAATTAGTGTGGTCTCACATGGCTTTTCAGAACAGGAATTAGGCACCTACTGTGTGCGTCGTATGGAACCAGAAGAGCACACCCAGGAGCTCAGAATCAAGGGTTTATTACACAAACACTTGGGACTCCAGGAATTCAGGCCCAAATTCTCAAGTCATGTTTTCTTTTCCTGAACTCCTATGTGGTCCTATTTCTGATCAGCCTTACAGAGGATAAAATGGCAGCCAACGGTGACTCTCCAAGTCAAGTGGAAGGGAACACGGTCTCCTTTCTTGCCACGATGGTTCATTATTTTGGAGTCCTTGCTTCACCCAGAGCTTTGTGGTGTTGTCACAGAATGTTCTTGTGTGTGAAACGCCTGTTGTGTTGTTGGGTTGAACTGAGCCCATGTTGAATGTGGTAGGTGTGTGCTTCCTGGAAGGAGGGTGTCACAAGGATGGGGGCTGGTCAGCAGCACTTTCTCTTTAGAAAGCTGGCCTGCTGCAGAAGGAGACCCTGCCGTCCTACGGGCACCACAGCCCCTGGGCTCAGATTCCTAGGAAGCAGTTCCGGTGGATGTGCTGTGGCTCAGCCGCTGTCTGGAATTGGCCTCTGGACTTGGATGCCAGAGGAAGAGGGCAGGAGGGTCCTGGGAGTGCCCAGGGGTCCCTCCTGTCAGGCTGTGACAGCAGGACCCAAGGCTGCTGGCAAATGTGGCAGAAAACCCTTTGTCTCTGTGACCCCAGCCTGGGGGTGCCTGGTGGGGAATCACTCACGGTGCTCTCTGGACGAGCTCAATGGCTTCCAGCAGCTGCCCATGCCCAGCAGCACTTCCCACTCCTCCGTGGGAACTGCTGTCGTGTAATGTGAGCCCTTTTACCTCAAAAGACTGGCGATGCACGAGAGCCAGGCCTCCCTCTCTGCAGAGTCCCTAGACCGGGGAACTGTCCCCCCGACTCCTGTCCCCCCTTGGGTCCCAGCCCCACCCAGCCTATTGTCCGCAGCTGACCCTGAGCATGTGGACATGCTTTCACCCTGTAACGGGACAGCTGTCTCTCTTCAGGACCAGCATGAGCAACACAGACTGTGCAGCTAGAAGTGACCGGGGAATGGCTGTGTACCGCCACGCGGAGGAGCCTCCCCCTGTCCATGAACCCAAAGGCTTTCACGTGTTTCACTTGGCTCTCATGCCCCAACGAGGCACATGCATCCCCAGGCCCCTCCTCAGAGCTCAGCAGCCCCAATGAGAAGGCAGGGCCTCATTCCAGGGAGTTCCCACGAGTCCCCGTCTTGGTATGGACTAGGTCCCCTAATCCAAGGACTGAGGACACTCACTTGTGGCACCTCCCCTGCAGCCGCCACCTACACTCAGCCTTCCTGGCTGCAGGCCTACAAGTTCTCATTCAGCTGTCAACCTGAGGTCACTGCCTTCTCTCCACCCTGACCAGGAGCGGAGGTCTGGATGGGGCGCACAGCATTCCCGGTGTTGGGGACAACCTCGTGGCACTACATGCCTGGCCTGTGTCTCCACCAGCGGTAGTGGCTGGTTGGTTCCAGGACACAAGGGCCACGTCCCTGGTCCATCCTGGAACCTCAGGCAGTGACGGGCACTCAGAGGTGTGCGATGGCTATTGGGCAAAGAAAGAAGTCAATCATGTGCACTCACCTGCTTCACGTCCTTGGGGCTTCCCCATGGGCTGAGGACCCCTTCCAGTTCCCGGGAGGGCATAGACTCCTGCAGACCATTCTGGCAGCATCTCCCGCCCCGTCTGCCACACTGTCTTGTTCTCAGTCAACACGGGCAGACGTCCACAGGGGCATGAGCGCCTCTCACAGCCGCCCAGCCCAACACAGGCCCTCTCAGGGGCACCCACACTTCCCTGCCTGATGTTTGGACACCCTGACAGCTTTATTCCGAATTCACATGTGCTGTCCTTCCTCCAGCTGCAGAGGCGGCTTCCAGGGCAGCAGGCCTGTGGCTGGCGGTGCCTGGAGCTGTGGCGGCCTCCAGCCTAGGGGACACGGAGGACCTGAAGGGGCCTCATCCCGCTGTGCCCATCCCGTGGTCTGACAGGGCTGGCTTTGTTCCCACAGAGCAGTCTGTACAGTGAGGAGGGCCTGGGCGTGACGGCGCTCAGCACCCTCTATGGAGGCATGCTCCTGTCCTCCATGTTCCTCCCACCGCTCCTCATCCAGAGGCTCGGCTGCAAGGGGACCATCCTCCTCTCCATGTGTGGCTACGTGGCCTTCTCTGTGGGCAACTTCTTCGCCAGCTGGTAGGCAGCCCCCCAACCCCTGCCCCGCCACAGCGTCTTCCCCACACTAGAAAGGCGCAGTTGGCACAGAGCTTACATTTGTGCCTGATAACCGTCCACTGCAGGGCTTGTAAAGTGAGCTCTGCTGCCCCGTCCCCTGCCTCGCTTTGGTGACAGACGGTGCTGGGCTTCCTTCCTCTTTTCCCACCAAGGCTCCTCTGTGCCCCCCACCTATACCGTCTCCTCCTCCAGATCCCCATGCTGACCCCTCCCTGGGATCCATACTGGTTCTCTGCTTTCCTGGCTGAGGGTTCTACTAATACAGGGAGTCTCGTGGGCACCTAGGCAGATGCCACCCATGGAACAAACGCTGCCCTTNGCCCACCATGACGAGACGGGTATGGCCAGGCCAGGCAGCAGGGTTGGGACCCCAGCCCGCTCCCCGGTGTGATGGACCATAGAGGCCGAGCTCTGAAGGTTTAAGCTGCACGCCCAGGCCTGGGAACAAGCCACGGAGCATCGCCTCAAGGGGCCCTGGCTGTGACCCAGGACTTGCCGATGGTGACGGCTGCACTCCCTGCTCCCTGGGAGCTGCCAGGTCTCACACAGCACCCCGCTGTCGAGACGTGAGCTGGTCGCTTGGTCTTAGCGGGGCTGTCCCTCGGTCTTCCTCGTGCTCTGCAGCTTGTTGTTTGTGGTTGCATCCAACACAAGGAACCTCACTGCTGTGAATTTCACTTTCGCAAATCAACCCGAGCTGGAAAAGGCAGTGGTTTTGCTCATTTATCTGAGTCGAATGGTGAATCCATCCATGCAACCAGCACCACTCATCACCAAGCTTGCAGCGGGCCAGCCCAGGCGCTTCCCTCTCCCTCATAGACCAAAGACCTCAGGGACACAGGTGCCACCGGCTTGCGTCTGTGGTCACAGGCGGTGCCGTGGGTCTGCTTCCACCCACAGGTACACTTTGATCCCCACCTCCATCCTGTTGGGGCTCGGGGCCGCCCCGCTATGGTCAGCGCAGTGCACGTACCTGACGGTCATGGGAAACACACATGCAGAGAAGGCGGGGAAGCGTGGCAAGGACGTGGTGAACCAATATTTCGGCATCTTCTTCCTCATATTCCAGTCATCCGGTGTGTGGGGCAACTTGATCTCCTCGCTGGTATTTGGCCAGTCTCCCAGCCAAGGTAAAAGGCAATGGGGCGAGCCCTTGTCTGCAAGTGGAGCGGGGGTTTCAGTGGTGGCCGCTGGGGGAGAGGGCTCCTGATTTCAGTTGCGCACCTGCCATGATTCTGTCACCTGAGCAGGTGAGTCAGGCCCCACAGGTGGGGTTCTCGACCTGCCTGTGCTTCAGAGTCTCCTGCTGCCCTCCCTTTTCTGGACAGTCAGGTGGGGCTAGAGAACACCTCTCTCTTCCACAGATGGCTCTGCAGGGGCAGCGGAGCCCTTGGGAGAGGGCGCCATGGGGAAACTAAGGGCCACGCCAGCACAACTGGGCTTCATGGAGTCACAGCTGCACAACTAGCCTTTTGAGACTAAGCATGGGGTGGCCTGGTTACTTTTCCTTCTGACGTGATCCACTGAGCAGCCTTCCACCTGTGTCACGGCAGGCGCTCATCCCACGACGGATGTGGACATTAGATGAGCTGATGCCTTGGCTCCTCTGTCTCTACCCAACCTTGCCCTGCATAACGTGGATGTCTCATTGATGCCCACACCCTTAGTTCCCATGTGGAGGCTTTAAGCCCAGGGCAGAGGACCTACATCTCTTTCATGCTTATAGGAAACCTTTCCCAATGAGGCAAAAACCAGTCCAGCATTCCTGACAAGTATCACGACAATTTCTATCACTTCATCAGCATTCTCCACCTTGCTATCCCATAAAAAAACAAAACTCTGCAGCCAAAATCCCTCTCCCTTCTTCTCATGCAATGTCATGCTTGCTAAGCACATTTGAAGAAGGCAAGCTGTGAAGTGGATGCAAAACAAGTTTTACTCATTATTGCTGTCACTGTCAGCGACAGTGATACAGAAACTGGGGTTAAAGCTCAGTCTGCATATCAGGGCCTGCGTGAGGTGGAGTAACAGGCTTGTCTTGGGAAGACGTATCTGCAGGTGAGTTAATTCCCCAGGCGAGCACAGGAGGCAGAATCTGGGGCTGGGGGGATTTGGAGTCGTCACTCCTTTCTCCACCTTCTTGTGCCTTCTCTCATCAGCTGGACATCTCACTGCCTAGAAGATTTTCTGAAGCTGTCTGTTACATCATTTGTGTTAGTCAGATAATAAAAACACTGAATATTCTTTCTCCCACGACATCTTTCTCCTCTCTCCAGAGATTCTGACGGGAGTTCTGACTGAGAGTCATTGCTAAATCAAATTTGATTCTTTTAAGAGATCATGGAACTAACATGAGTTTTCAAAAACAGAAAAGTTGTGAAATCACCTGCCCAAAGTCACAGAGTTGGTTACAGACGAATCTGAAAGCATCCAGCATTCCTGACACCTAATCTGATGTACTTTTTTCTCTTTGATGAAATTTAAAAACTTGAAAAATTTTAATTAGGTCACAAAGGTAACATAACAAGTAATATTACAGCACTTTTCCATGTTTATTCTTCCCTGAATCTTTGCAGAACTCTAATATGATTTGCCACTTCCCAAAGTGTCTTACATCTAGTCTAGGGACATGTGCCTAGGGGTCAATGTATGTTGAGACACTGGGTCTTTCCACGTGACCTGTAGTGATGTCTCCCGCCAAGCGTCCACCATCCTTTCCACAGTCACTTTCATTCCTCAGGAACCTATGTCTTACCACATTGGTAGGCATCTCACGTGTCCTGTTTGCTCTGACTTCACGGAGACCCTCCCAGAAGAGCAGCTCGCGTCCTGTGGGGCCAGTGACTGTCTGATGGCCACGGCGACCACCAACAGCACCCAGAGGCCGTCCCAGCAGCTGGTCTACACCCTGCTGGGCATCTACACTGGTACGTGCCTGTAGGAGTCATCTCTCTCTTCTGAAACGTCCTTGCAGAATGTGTTGGGCTGGGTCACATGCAGGGGTTCTTCTCGTGAATCAAATGCAGTCCAGCAGTGCTGTCTGACAGAGGCTCCTGTCGTGAGGAGACTGTGGAACATCTCCAGAGCCCAACACGGCAGCCATTCACCACTGGGCCTGTTTACCTCGTAACTGATCAAAGTTTCAGTTCCTGTCTCCCAGCTGCACTGCAAGTGCTCAGCAGTACGGCGGGCTGGTGGCTCCCCCAGCAGACAGCTTGGTGGCCAGCCAGGACCCTGAGGGTGACTATTTGTGTTTCAGCTGTGTCCACGGGACCCTGAGTTGCTACATGATCTCTATGAATCACCATTTTTCTCTGGGAAACGTACTGAATGCCTTCGGTGGAAAGGCCAGCGGGGTGCATCCTCCCGAGTGCTGGTTGCACCTCAGCTGCAGACGTTGCCAGGTCCTGACGAAATGTCTGCCCAAAGGAAGTTAACTGTCATGACGAAGCTTATTCTTAGGAGTTCATTTTAATAGAGAATATTATGTTAATAGTTTCATATGTGACTTTAGTGTTATTTCAAAAGTTTATTACAACTTTGAAGGGAATAGAGTCAGAGAGTTTTTAAAGCCATTTTGAAATGAATTGATATTCTTTTTGGCTGGGCGCAGGCTCTCCCCTGTCATCCAGCACTCTGGGAGACCGAGGCAGGAAGATCAGGAGTTCAGGAGTTGAGGTCAGGAGTTGGAGGCCAGGCTGGCCAACATGGTGAAACCCCATCGCCACTGAAAATACAAAAATTAGCTGGGTGTGGTGGTAGGGGCCTGTGATCCCAGGTACACAGGAGGCTGAGGCAGGAGAATGGCTTGAATCCAGGAGGCGGAGGTTGCGGTGAGCTGAGATGGTGCTGCTACACCCAAGCCTGGCCGACAGAATGACACTCTGTCTCAATGTACATATGTCTTCTTTGTCATTCTTCGATTTGGGGATTCATAAAGGCCATGGAATGGGTCCTTCTTGAAGATGAAACGCCAGCTGTGAGCTCTGGGGGCACCGAGTCCCGCGCTCTGCCGAGGTCAGAGGTGAGGAGGGTTGGTGCTCACTGCAGAGCATTTCCTCATGCTGAGGTCATGAGCTGCCCCCACCCTCAGGTCCCCTCAGGCCACTTCCACATCAGAGGCTCTGAGTGAACATTTATAACGCTGTTGCCGGCAGTTGACAAAGCGTATTGAGCACGAGCGTGTGCCATGCTGGGCCCCCTTGGTCCAGACACTCAGATGACCAGAAGCTGGCCTTAGTGAGCTGAGAGCCTAGCGACGGAGACAGACGCACTCCCAGCTCACCGAGACCCTGTCCCACGGTGTTCTGAGCTCAGTTCCCAGCTGACTGGCAGCATCTCCCTGGAGCACTGCGTTGTGGGGAAGCCTCCAGGGTGGGTGGTCCCTAAGCCAAGTCTGGACAATGAGCGAGATTTGGCCCAGCAGGGAGGTGATGGCCGAGGGCCCTGGGAGCAGAGGTGCAGAGAAGTCCAGGACGAGCTGCGGGGCTGGGGCAAGGTGGAGGGGTAGAGATGGGGCACAGGACGAGCTGTGGTCCTCGACATGTCCCAAAGGGTCTGGACGGGCGCAGACTTGCCTCCTAGGCAGACCCTGTGACAGCCTGACTTGGAGGTGCAGAAGGACAGCGGGCAGAGGCCCACTGAGGACGGAGTGTAGAGGCCAGAGGAGCGAGCAGGAAGGGGAGGCAGAGCCGAAGGGGCTGAGGGAGAGGCCAGCAGGGCTCCTGTGGGTTGGACATGGTGTGGGGAAGAGTGAGACAGCCCTGGGGTTGACAGGAAGGTGAGATCAGGCCGGGAACACCTGGCTGGAGGATGCAGCGGGAACTTTGTATCCTGTCCAGTGGGTAGTCTGATGCCGTGCAGGGGTCAGGCCAGAGGCTGATACAAGTGTGGACGTGAGGCATCTTCCAAGGGGGTGAGTGGAATCATGGCAGGGATGAGGATCTTGGGGAGAAAAAGCAGAGAGAATTTTTGAGGAGGAGGAAGTACAGCCGGACCCCTGGTTCAGCAACGCTAAGGGGCAGGCAGAGACCCGGAGGCCTGGGAGGAGACAGAAAGCCAAACCAGGGTCTGGGGGGGACACAGGACTGCAGAATCAGCTGGGGGGGGTGTTTTGAGAGTGTTGAGTGAGGAAGGGCTCCCAGGAGGATCAGGGAGGAGGCCTGACCACGCTCTCAGGCAGTGAGAGGCTGCAGACACCCATCAAGAGGGCAACCTGTGGGGGTCCTGGCATGCAAAGCCCAGATTGAGGGTGGTAGAAGTGAGAGGAACGTGGGGAGTCGAGAGAAGCCACGCTTTGTCGGGTCTGCAAGTCTCTGTTGACTTGGAATCCCGGTCAGGCTTTCCCTTGGGCCCCGATGTTCCCATCCACATGGTCCTGGGACCACCCAGGCCTGTGCTTCCTCCACACTTCCCCTCATCGCCTCCTCTACATAACTGGGAGGCTGGGGGACTCGAGGACATTGAGCTGAGTCAAGAGCCTCAGGCCTCCTTCCAGCTCCACCAGGTCCAGTGCAGCCACCAGCAAGGATGTCTCCTATCTATAAAAGAACAGAATTTTGGAGTGGGGCTGGCAGCCTTCCTCTGTGAAGGGCTGACCGCAAATATTTCTCCATGTAAAGACCTTTCTGAGGATCACAGGGTCCTTGCTGCAACTGCTCAATATTGTCTTTGTAGTGGGAAAAGCCACAGACAACATGTAAGCACATGAGCGTGCCCACCTGCCAATAAAACTTTATTTTCAAAAGTCAGCAGTGAGCAGGCTGTGGCCAGCAGACCACAGTTTGTCGGCCCCTGCTCTAGAGGAACAGCCCAAACATCTCCATGGCTTCCAGGCCCTTCATTGCCCTCTGTCCTCCACAGGTGGCTGCTGTCTGCTGGGCCTCCCCTGCAGGGACACCCTCAGAGTGCTCCCTGGCCACAGCCACAGCCATGCAACCTGAGAGACAGCTCTCAGTTCAAGGAATCCCTCAGGCTAAGGGGGTCCAGGTGTAGAAGTGACGTGCAGCAGAGATCACACACATGTAAACGAAGAAGCTGTCGCACCATTGTGATCATAGCAACCTGCAGGATCCCGTACGTCTCCTTTTCTATAAAGCAAGGCCATGTCACCATAGAGAAAAACACAGAAAAGAAGAAAAGTGGACCTGAAAGAACAAGAGCAGCCTCTCCCTGGGCAGCCTTCCCGGCTTCCTGAGCGTTGCACTCATGTTCAAGCTTCGTGCAAGGGGCCGACTCTTTAGAACTTAGGACACAGCTGTGCAGCATCCCCCAGTGCAGGCTCCTCAGAGGGCTCTGAGTCACATGATATCTGGACACACATAATTCTGAACAAAGCCATGTGGCTTCTGTGTCCGGGACCTGCCTCTCCCCTCCCAGGAGGCTTTTGGGGGAGATGGGAGGTTGTGTCCTATTGGGCTGCCTGACAGTGAAGTCCTGGTCCAAAGGATGAGATGGTGGAGAGGGAGCTTCCTTCAGTGAGTGGAGAAAAATGTGCCTTTTCCACACAGCCTACATGCAGTCAGCTCGACTGGTCAGCTTGGAAGGGAGCCCCGACACTTGTAAATCCCTATGGCCTCCTGTGTAGGCGTGACAACCTGCCAGACCGTGCAGGGGCCAGGACAACGCAGAGGGAAATGAAGGGTAACTGAGAAACGAGCAGGGCCACGGGACTCCTGCTTTCATACGGAATTTCACAAACTTCATGAGAATGTTGAATTGTCATGACACGGGAAGGGGCATATGTTTAGCCAAGATGGAAAGTCGCCAGACAACAGAAAGTGAAGCCTAGAAAGAAATCTGGGCATTTCTGGGTGGACCAGCATTAACAGTGGTACCTTCTGAGACGGGTGCTAAGACTCTGCTGTGTCTGCGCACAGCGTGGAGGACAGCTGGCTTTGCAAAACCTCCCAGTTTCAGGAACGCTCAGCTGCTAGGCCGTCCTGCGGCAGCAAGCCCACTGCGTGGCATGTGAGGAGGCTGGCACTGAGAGAGTCAGAGAGAGCACTAGATAAGGCTGCGCAGACACAGGAAGATAAGATCATTCCCGTCTTTAGAGGAGCAGGGGTCTACGCTCTCAGAGGTAGTAATGAGCTGCTCTGAAAGGCCCTGGCTGGAGAGAAGGGAAGAATCGCCGCCACTCTTGAGTGACCTGTGGTGCCCCAAACAGTGTATTGTTACCACTGCCAGGTGGGAGAGCAGCAGTGGAGACATGACATCACAGAGGGCACTCACAATGGTCAAGGGACCAAAGGGCTTCTATGTTCAGTCAGAAACGCCCAAATAAACCTCAGTCTCCGTGGACAGAAATCAAGTTTTCAAATAATCAAGTGGTGGACGGAAGTGATGGACATTGACTCATCATATTTTGGAATTATGAGAAAGTTCAGGATGTTTCCTCATGGATGACATGAATAGTTACAATATTTTTGCATGGATAACCCATTTATATAGTTCACAATGCAAATCCGGGAGTCCCCCTTGTCCCCATTTCATTCAGTGTGGCTTCAGTGACCTGAGGCCAGCTGCAGTCCGAGAACCTTAAGTGGAAAATTCCAGAAATAATAATTCATGAGGTTTAAGTTGTGCGTTGTTCTGAGTAGTGTGATGGAATCCCTCGTGGTCGTGCCCGTCCTGCCCAGGCCGTGACCCTCCCCTCTGTCCGGCATGTCCACACCACCTGTGCTCCCGTGCCATAGCCTCTCGTAGCCACCTCTGTTGTCCCAGTGAAAATACGTGGTATGTGTCGCATGTGACACCACCCATGGTTTCAGGCCTCTGCTGGGGACTTAGAATGAACCCCTTTGGCGGGAACCACTACACTGTACAGGGGCATGCGGGGGGGTCTCCCTCTCACTGCCGTCCCCAGACCCAGAAATCCCATGTCTGCTTTACTTCCTAGTCATATTTAATGCACGTGTAAACAAACACATCTTCATGTCCTTCCTTACTAAATTCAAGTGGTAGCTCACTCTACACCAAGTTCTGCATCTGGGCTGCTTTTTCTCTTTTTACCATTTGTGGTGGGGATTTTCGCATCCTTGCATAAAGAGCTTCTTTTTTATTTTCTTCAAATGCACAACATTTCATTGCAGCTGGGATACCCCTTAATATCTTTAACCAGTTCCTATTGGAGGATTTTTACACAAAATTATTTATTTGAAATAAACAAAAGTATAGCAAAGAACCCTTGTGGGAATCATTATCCTAAAAAAATTATAAATCAATAAAAAGCTGGCTGATGTTATAAATTGCTTAGAGGATTAGAATGAGGATCACTCTCCATGGTTAAGCACGCTAACAACGTCTGGGGTCTCTCCCTAATTTTTTGTATGTTATGCCGGTGAAGACAATACTGACCTATTGTCGCAGGTTTCATGTGAAAGCTGGTGAGTCATGAGCTAATCAGAGAATCAGCACAGTCAATGCAACTAGAGCCCTGAGATCCTTAAGTGTGCGGCATCTAATGTCACCTGAAATCTGGATCTGAGTAGCCCACCCTCTCGAGAGCAGGATGAGCCACTGGAATAAATCCGTGCCCGGCACCCTGCCTCTGGGCCTTCGTGAATGCTGAGCCTTTGCTCTTTCCTCTCAGGCAGCGGTGTCCTGGCTGTGCTGATGATAGCCGCATTCCTCGAACCCATACGAGATCTTCAACGACAAAGTGGCGGAGAGAAGAAATCACCCCCTTTCTGGTCCACTTTACTGTCGACCTTCAAGCTCTACCGAGATCAACGTATGTGCCTCTTAATCCTGCTGCCGCTGTACAGTGGACTGCAGCAAGGATTCCTCTCCGGCGAATACACGAGGGTATGAACCAAAGCCAGGGCCCGTGGCTCAGGCCATGTGTGGCATCACTGCCCCGCCTGTGTCTGAACCAGCGGGACTGCAGAGTGTCTCAGGCCCCCTCGGGGCTGGGGCTGGAGGGAACGGGATCCTGCACTCCCAGTCCTGCCGCAGCTGAGTTCATGATTCCAGGGCTCAACTTCCACGTCACTTCCAGCTCCCAGGAGTTCCACTTCTTGTCTCCAGAGAGAACTTCTAGCCTGATCCATGGCTTCCTGGGGAAAGAGCCGGAGCAAGTGACTGGGCAGCTGCTGCTGACTCTCCACACAAACACTCACTCGGGTTAACCTTGCCTGGGCCTCACCCTGCACTGTCACTTTAGAGTTTCTGGATAGAAAGGCATCAAGTCCATGAGTACCACTGAGATCCCTTCTTCCTCTAGTTTTCAAATCATGCTTCACAGTCTAAAAGTCGATGTGGCTCCCCAGGCTTCTTCTCCGTCCACTCCTGCCCCTTTCCCCCACAAGGTGAGAGAGGCGGTGCCCCACCTTGGGGTGCATAAAGAAAGAAGCCTCTCTTGGGGCTGTTGAGAGCTGGGGGCCAGAGCCGGACCAGCGGGGGCCTGTGTCTGCAGCCCCGCCCTCTGAAGCTCTCCTTCTGGAGGGACCTTCCATGCTGTCCCCACCCCTGATCCTTCCCAGGCAAGACTGCCAACTGAGCAAGATAAAACGCACCTGCAGGTAGAATTTGAATTTCAGATAAGCCGCAGATGTTTCTCAGAGGAGTATGCCCATGCAACAGTCCCGTGCACTTGCTTCTATCTGGCACTGCTACTTCTAGGACAGTCTTGACGGAGAATCTTAGGGGCTTAGATGAGTAAACACAAGGTAACAGAAAGGTCCACTTGGCATTCTGGGGACAGCCCCTCCTGCCCCTCCACTGGACTCGTCCTTGTCACCCCCGTGTGGCTGTGGCCACAATCTTCTCATCTCGGCCCCCGTCCTGTGTGCCAGCCCCGGAGGCCCCGTGATGGGGGCGGGGCGGGGTGGGCGTGGGAGCGAAACTGCAGTCCACAGCTGGGCTGCTCTGAGGCCCAGGGAGGTGGCAGGGCAACCTCTTCACTTTTCCTCTTTTTCTCAACTGTCTTTAGACCTAATAGGCAATGACTGGCCCCAGCAAGGGCAGGGAGAATTGGCTTCCATCTGAAATCATGCACATTTGAAGGCAAATATAGACTATATGAGGAATTTCATCCAGAGCTGCCCAAACTCCTCATTTTAGTTCTTCCCCAGAGAGGGTTTTCTTAGAAACCCGAGCTCTTCTACTGCACGTGACCACGGGGCCGAGAGGAAGGCGTGCGCCACACTGGCCTGCGGCCCTCTCAGAGTGGACGATCCAGGCACCCGGCTGCAGCCTCAGTTTCAGCCCGGGAGGCCTGGGAGCGTCCCTGACGAGGCTCTGCTCCCCTCCCCAGTCCTACGTCACCTGCGCCTTGGGCATCCAGTTCGTCGGCTACGTGATGATCTGCTTCTCAGCCGCCGATGCGCTGTGCTCCGTGTTGTATGGGAAGGTCTCGCAGTACACCGGCAGGGCCGCGCTCTACGTGCTGGGTAGGTGGCAGCGTGGGTGCATCCCAGCCCTCCTCGCGAATCCAAGTAGCCATTGCGTGCAGCTCGCAGACAGGGCAGGGCTGGAAAGCTGCCCCGGAAGCTGCTTTGAAATTAGTAACGCCCTGCAGACATTCATTCATTCATTCATGCCTTCCTTCATCCCCTTAACAAGCAGGAATCAGATCTCTCTCGGAGCTGACTCTGGGCAGGCACTGTGCCAGGCATGAGGCCACACACCATTGCCTGCTCTGAGTGGGCACTCAGTGTAGTGACCAGGCCAGGGTGGGGCGGGGCAGGGTCTCTGCAGGCACAATGGAGGGACAGGAAGCCAGTGGTGAGACCATGGGGGTCAACGCTGGGGTTGGGGCAGCTCTGTTCAGCATCTGTTCACACAGCAGATAATGAGAAATCTTCTAGGGCCACAGATTCCTCCCTAAACACACAGCGCCTTCCATTTTTCCTGGGTAGGGCAGGAAAGAGAAGAGTTAGAGATCGTGTGAGCAATGAGGAATGTTGGCACTAAGAGAAACAGCGCCTGGCACGTCAATGTCCCAGGCGGGGCTGGATGTGGGGTGCAGTCAGAGGAAGGGCAGGCACTGAGTGTCCTCCAGGGCCATGGAGCCCGGAGTCTCTGCCTGGGGTTTCCTATCTGTCTCCACAGTCGCCCTGTGAAGCAGACAGTGTCTCCTTACAGACAGGAAATCACGGAGCGGAGAAGTGGAGGGACTTGCCCCGGTGAGCGCAGCTTTGGGCGTGGGGTTCGGACCTGCCTTTCCGCCTCCCGAGACCCTGCTCTTCCCACTCCTCTCGGCATCTCGAGCGTCAATGGGCAGCCTCATTACTGTACCCTAGAGACGCCACAGTCTGTTGAAATCAGTTCCCAAAGCTATGACATGCTAGGATGGGTCATGGGTGGGGCCACAGATGCCACCTGCCTGGGAGGTCTGTGGCCTCCTCCTTCCTGTCCCTATGCCTCCATTTGGAAGCCTCAGATGACACCATGGCACACTGTGTCCTATCCCCTGACCACTCCGAAGGGAGCTGGGATCCTTCAACTCATCCCTAATGAGAAGTCCCTTCTTTTTCTGGCTTTAATCCTCATAGATTAGGGGCAACCTCAGGCCCAGACAGGGTAACCTTCCTTCCCAAGGTGATGCCAGACCACACCGAAGATGCTCCAGGCTGAGGCCGAGGGCCACACAGCAGGGGTGTGGTGAGACGCTGTAGGCTTAGGCCGAGGGCCACACCGCAGGGGTTCGGTGAGACTCTGCAGGCTGAGGCTGAGGGCCACACAGCAGGGGTGCAGTGAGACGCTGCAGGCTGAGGCTGAGGACCACACAGCAGGGGTGCGGTGAGACTCTGCAGGCTGAGGCCGAGGGCCACACAGCAGGGGTGCAGTGAGACTCTGCAGGCTGAGGCTGAGGGCCACACAGCAGGGGTGCAGTGAGACTCTGCAGGCTGAGGCCGAGGACCACACAGCAGGGGTGCAGTGAGACTCTGCAGGCTGAGGCCGAGGGCCACACCACAGGGGTTTGGTGAGACTCAGCAGGCTGAGGCCGAGGGCCACACAGCAGGGGTGCAGTGAGACGCTGCAGGCTGAGGCTGAGGACCACACAGCAGGGCTGCGGTGAGACTCTGCAGGCTGAGGCCAAGGGGCATGTAGCAGGGGTGCAGTGCAGAGGATTGACTTAGAACTGGCAACCGGCAGACACACCAGCTCACAAATTAAATGTCAAGGTGCCAACTAAAAAGACACTTCCAGAGTGTTAAGGGAACATGGAGCATGCAGCTAACGTTCCAGAGGATGGTGGTTCCAGTGCTGATCCCTCAGAGGGCTCTTCAGGTCATGATCATGACCCTCATAGCCCGGGGGTCTCCCCTCTGCACCCCCAGGCGCGGTGACCCAGCTGTCCTGCATGATCGCCCTCCTGCTGTGGAGACCCCGTGCTGACCAGCTGGCGGTGTTCTTCGTGTTCTCAGGCCTGTGGGGCGTGGCAGATGCGGTCTGGCAGACACAGAACAACGGTGAGTACCCAGCCCATGCCCCTTCCTCTGGGGGGCGTCCCTAGGCCCAGGCAAATGTGGGGCTCGTTAGATGCCAACGGACCAGAGGCAGGAGAGGTGACATGGGAGACACGGGAGGGCCAAGAGGGCTTTGATGTCACCTCTCCGTCTGATGTATTTTCTCTGGGAGTTTATTCAGATTCATGATGCAAAAGTAAAACCCCCCGAGGTTCCTTTTGGGCACCATTCCCTGGGGATCATGTCATTTCCCTCAAGTCAAGTCTCCTGTTCAAACCTGGATGTGAGACTCTTGACCCCAGGACAGTGGTCTCTTCATGAATAAAACCCTTTATTCAGACTTGCTCATGAACAGAGGTGCACTCCCCACCGGCCAGGGCCTGGGGTGTAAACACATAGGGCCTTCCCAGGAGCCCTCGGGGCGATGGAGGTGGTCGTGTGAACCACAAGCCACGGGTCACAGGTCACCAGGATCAGTGTCTGTGGGTGAGGCTCTGGGGCTCCCTGGGCAGTGGTGGGTTTTCTGGGAGCAGCAAGTGGGGGCCCTGTGGATGTTGGGGAGGAGGAGAGGCCTGGGTGGGCATTGTCCTAGAGACATCACATCTGGGCTGACTGCTCTCCAGGGGGGTGGGGTGCAGGAGGAAGCCAGGGCAGGAGGGGCAGGGGCGCTGCAAGGCCTTGTTGAAGCTGGGGTCACCAAGAAGGCGGCCTGGGGAAGTGCAGAGGGGTGGGGTGGAGGGGCAAGCCAGGTCCCCACCTGCCGGTTGGCCTGCGGGGGAGGGTCGGACGCACCCCAGCTCAGTGGAAGCAGCAGGAAGCGCTGACACCCAGGAGTGACCAGGAGCTACGTGGAGTCGGCCAGTGTCCCAACAATCAAATCTGAAAGGCAGGCGACAAGGTCCAAGGTGCAGCCCTGGAGGGAGCGGGAGGGCTGGTTGTTGGGTGGAAGGTGACGTCCCGTGATGATGGCAGGAGCCAAATGCCAAAGTCCTCACAGAATAGGGTGGCCCGGCCCGGAGGTCAGGAGGGCAGCAAGGGCACCGGTGGGAGGTGAGCAGAAGCCCAGGAGGAGCCAGGGAGGAAGCAGCCCCAGGCCCAGGCAGCTGCAGGAGAGGGGTCTGACGGCAGGCCAGCCAGAAGGGGACAAGCCATTGCACCTAAATCCCAGCTGCTCAGGAGGCTGAGGCAGGAGAACCACTTAACTCCGGAGACAGAGGTTGCAGTGAGTGGAGATCGCACCACTGCCGCCCAGCCAGGCTCTGCCCTTCGATGCTCTGTGCTGGCCGGCCGTGTTTTCCACAGGGAGAAGTGCAAAAGGGTTTTGGAGAAAGTCACAGGGAGAGAAGGAAGCAGGGCCGTGTGTGTGGCCGCTGGCCAGAGGGTGGGCGTTGGTTGTAAAGGAGAGATGAGGGCTTAGGGTGAGAACCCTGAGCTTCCCAAAACCCCATCTGAGGCCACGAGGGGTGTCAGAGGCCCAAAGAGGCAAGACTCTGCCCGCCTAAGAGATGCGGATGAGGCAGATGAAGGGTCCCCTCGGAGGTGAGTATGGCTCACACGAGACCTTCCTCCCTTTTGGAGAGACATCATCTTCTGCCTTTATCTGGCAAACACGCAGGGCTTAGAAAATGGAAAAAGCAAATCCACAAACGAACTATAGGCAAGTGTTTCTGAGATGAGAGACCTGGAGCTGAGGGTAAAGAGCACGGGTGACCTCAGATCGCGGCGGGAACACTCCAGGCACTTCCTCTCTTGTCTTCCTGACGGTGATGGGTCACCTACCTATAGGACAGCTGAGAAAACCCACACGGTTGGATTGAAGGAGCCGCGCTTCACGTCCTTCCTGCTGCCTCAGTATTGCAGGCAGACGCAGTGAAGCTCTTTACCAGGATGGGTGTGTGTTTGGCCGGGCGCCACGCTCTGCCTCGTCGGGATGGAGGCCGGGAGGCTGGGACGGGTGGACAGGACGTGGAGGCCAGGCGGGGGCATTCCGTCACAGAACAAACAATGATTTAATGGACGGGAGACAAACAGAAACTCACTCGTGTTTGTGGCAGTGCAGAATTCTGAGCTAGTGGCATGTCACGTGGCTGTAGTGCTCCTAGCTACGTTACCAGTCAGCATCAGACAGCATTTATTCCAGCCATCCCCAGAGGCGTGGCATAGCCAGGGTTTTACTGAGCTCTCCAAAGGCTCATCCCATTACCAGAAATGCACAGTGACTTCTCTGAACTGACATAATTTTAAAATGTATTTACACATTAAAAGGAAAACACTGGGACAAATATCCCCACAATATTCTATACGATAATTCTTAAATGCTACCAGTGAATGCGATCATTCATATTTGATTTTTGTTCATCCTGAGGCATTGAATAGTGGACTCAACTCTTCCCTTCCTTGTGTGGACACAAGGTCCTCTCAGGCAAAACCTTGTTGTATTGTTAAAGTTACCTAGGGTCAAACAGGGTATGAATGTCCAAGTACAGTGAATGCCTGGAATAAAGGCTCCCTTTAATAAGGGACGCTAATTTAAATGAAAATTATTTCTGTATTTTTGTACAGGGATAAAAAAGAAATTAAAAAAAATAAACCAAATTGGCTGGGCATGGTAGCTCACGCCTGTAATGCCAGCACATTAGAAGGCTGAGGTGGGCAGATCACTTGAGCTCAGAAGTTCGAGACCAGCTTGGCCAACATGGTGAAACCTCATCTCTACTAAAAATACAAAATTTAGCCAGGCGTGATGGCACACGCCTGTAGTCCCAGCTACCCCAGAGGCTGAGGCTGGAGGCTCACTCGAACCCAGGAGGCAGAGGCTGCAGTGAGCTGAGATCTTGTCATTGCACACAGCCTGGGCAACAGAGCAAGATTCCGCCTGAAAAAGAAAAAAAAGCAAAAAATTGGGGAAAATATTTTCATCTACTTGAGAAGTTCCTGTGGGTTTTAGACTGGCAATCCTCCTGTGTGAGTAGCACTTCAGTGCCGCGCTCCTGCACTTCGGGCAGGCTGGCTCTCTATGTGGCACAGCGCACACAAGGTCTCTGTTCTCTATTTTTTGGAAAAAACTGGAAATTTTCTGTAGCTTTGTCTCCATCTCAAGAATAGCTCTCTCTGACTTTTCTTTTTCTAAATAGCAAGTTAGATTTCTAATGCTGTTCTCCCCAAATGTGTGCTTTCTTTTAAGAAAGTATGTGGCACGCCTATAATCCCAGCACTTAGAGAGGCTGAGGGGGTGGATCACCTGAGGTCAGGAGTTCGAGACCAGCCTGGCCAACATGATGAAAGCCCATCTCTACTAAACATACAAAAAATTAGCCGGGCATGGTGGTGGGCACCTGTGATCCCAGCTACTCAGGAGGCTGAGGCACAAGAATCGCTTGAACCTGGGAGGGACCTCCAACCTGGGCAACAGAGGGAGACTTTGTCTCACCCAAAAAAAAGAAAGAAAGAAAAGAAAGTGAAGGAGTCGGCGGGGCGCAGTGGCTCATGCCTGTAATTCCAGCACTTTGGGAGCCCGAGGCGGGTAGATCACCTGAGGTCGAAAGTTCCAGACCAGCCTGACCGATGTGGAGAAACCCCATCTCTACTAAAAATACAAAATTAGCCGGGCGTGGTGGTGCGCACTCCTAATCCCAGCTACTCACGAGGCTGAGGCAGGAGAATCACTTGAACCCGGAAGGTGGAGATTCTGCCGAGCTGAGATCGCGCCATTGCACTCCAGCTTGAGCAAAAGAGTGAAACTCAAAAAAAAAAAAGAAGAAAGAAAAAGAAAACATGTGAACATGTGGGCCACACTCCTTCCGAATTAACGACACTGAATAAAGCCCACTGCAGTTTGTCCTGGCCTTGCAGTCATAGCTGCTGAATTGAAAGACGGATCATTACAGCCTCTCACTTGGAGGCAGCTCAGAGGACATCCCGGTTCCAGCCCCTCCTTCCTGGGGCAGAATCCAGAATCCACGGCTCACTGTCCCCCGCCAATGCGCGCCACTCAGATAAAGAACGTGTAGTCTAAAAATGCTCCTTTGCCCTGTTGGCTGTTTTCAAGCTGATAAACTCAGAAAATCTGACTTCTCTTCAATGCCCCATTCAGTCAACTGTCCTCTCTGACCAAACACGATTGCTGGACTTCTCATCCACGTCCCCGTGTTAGAGGACAGGACCCACATCCTGGTCTCTTAACCCTGCGCCACCTGGGAAGAGCAGGTAGACAGGCCATGCTGAGAGCAATGCTTTTGTCTTTTTAAATACACTTTTTATTTTGAAGTAGCTTTAGATTTACAGAAAAGTTGCAAATATAGCACAGAGAGTTCTCTTGAAAGGTACCAACCTATAGACCCAAGGCATTTACCCCGTAGGCCCTGTGCCAGCTGCCCTGAATGCTGAGCATCTTATGTAGCCCTGGCACATTCCTACAGCTGGGAAGTGGCACTGCCAGGTGACAGTCAGTGGAGGCACAGCCTTTATTTGGGCTCCTCCCGTTTCCCCACGAGTGTTCTTCTCTCTCTGCCAGGATCCCGTCCTGGGTTCCCCACGTACTCAGTCATCCTATCTTCTAGGCTGGTCTGTGACAGCTTTTGATTTTCCTTGTTTTTCATGACCTTGACCCTTTTGAAGAGCACTGTATTTTGTAGACTGTTCCTTAATTTGGGCTTGTTCGCTGTTTTCTCATGATTAGGCTGGGGCTGTGGGTTTGGGGTGGAGGACCCCCTGGTGAGGCGCTTGCTTGTCCCGTCATGTTGGGGTACAGGAGGGTGATGGGCCTCCTCACCAGCGATGCGAACCCTGTTCCTGTGGGCACCGTGGTTCTCATCAGTAGAGGGACATTCATGATGGGAGTTTTTTTGTATAAAACCAATTAACAAACCCTGGGACCAGCTGCGTTTCATCGCTTTCTTTAAAGCCAGTGGTGGGGGTGGGGGAACACCTCTTTGGATGGGAGTGGAAGGTCCCCGGGGCCTTGTTCCCAGGACGTCTGTGACATTTCTGTTGAAACAAGCAGGCCGGCCCCAGGAAGGTGAGCGCCTGTGTTGTGGGCAGTTTATCTGGGCACTTTGTTTCTTGCAGGGAATCCCTATCCCAGTGACATCATCTGTTTGCCTTGGATGGACCTGGCCTCACCCCCCACGCCCTCCAAGTCTGTGGCACAAACAGGAAAATCCTGGGGCTCCAAAATCACGAAGCTAAAGGGAAAGTCAGGCTGGGAACGGCTTCGCGCCAGTCTGTCTCCCATTCAATTCAAAGTCCCCTTCTGCTCACTGAGACAGGTGCACCTCTGGTTGTCTCCTTGGAGGCTAACCGGAAACTCCAAAAATGCAACCGTTTGTCTCTGTCTACCCAGGACCCAGAAGCCCCTCCCGCTTCCAGTCTTCCCACTTTGCTTGGAGTTGTCTCGCCTTTACGGACCCACCCATGTTCCTCTGATCTGTGTTGACTGAGGTCTCAGGTCTCCCTAGAAAGGATAACACTACCCTGTGCTCTCACCATCTTGGGCCCACGTGGTCAGGACCTCCTGAGGCTGTGTCAAGGGCACCCGTCCTCAACCTCGGAAAAACCATCTTTCTAAATAACTGAGACCTGTCTCAGATTTTCGGGGTTCACACTCTCATCCGCCACGTACAAGCATTCTGTTGTTAGGAGAATGTCTTGATTTTGTTGGGAAAATGGGGCAGCGGGAAAGCCGTGCTCTTTTCACGAGCGGGGTCACTGAGGCCGGGCAGAGCTCTCACTCCGCTCTCTCTCCGCAGCTCTCTACGGCGTTCTGTTTGAGAAGAGCAAGGAGGCTGCGTTCGCCAATTACCGCCTGGGGGAGGCCCTGGGTTTCGTCGCTGCCTTCGGGTACAGCACATTTTTGTGCGTCCACGTCAAGCTCTACATTCTGCTGGGGGTCCTGAGCCTGACCATGGTGGCGTACGGGATTGTGGAGTGTGTGGAGTCCAAGAACGCCATCAGACCCTGCGACCTGGGACACGCCAACCCCGCAGAAGACAAAGAAGCACAAACAAAAATGTGAGAGCAGCGAGGTCGGAGGAGGACGAATCAGCACGGACTGGCCAGAGAGTGTTCTAGAAGATGCCTCAGGACACAGAGCTGGCTCCTCAGCCCCACTCAGCACCTGTGGCCGTTCTGAAGATACATCATTGCACTCTTCATGCCCTTTCTTCTATTCTGACACATTTTTAGCCCACCATCTTATCAACAGAGATCAAGTGTGTACGGGAAGGAGTCAGTTAATTAAATTTTAGATACAAAAGAAAAAAGTCTAGAGTAGAATCAGAATTTGCCTGAAACCGTAGACTCACTGTAACTGTTGTTCTTGTAGTTATTTTGAGAATTGGAAGTCTTTTAAAATAATGTAGTCTAACCCCATAGTTTTACAAATGGGCAAACTTTTAAACGCTAACTGGACTTGGATGAAAACGTCAAACATTTTACAAAGGGGTCCTGATGGGTCAGCTGACTCAGCCTCCCAGAGTCAGGAGGTGGCAAAGCCAGGCTGGGGCTCAGGATTCTTGAAGCATATGGGGTCTGCGTTTCTAAATAAAGGCAGTTATTTACGGGACATGCCTCCTGCCCGGGTGCTGTTGTGCTGAATACTCACATGGACCCACACAGGCTTCATCTCATCAGTGCTTTACTGCGCTGTGGCCTTCACAGACCGAGAGCATTTCAGACGGAAACGCTCCACGTGGCTGTTAACGTGGAAAATGGCGCCAGCCGTGGGTTGGGTGATGTTTGCCCACTTCACAGTCGCCATCTGGTCCCTGGGCACCTGGTCTCCTCTCTCACTTGTTCTTCTTAGCGGCGCTGCTGACCACCCATCTCCAAGGCTTCTTTCTTGTCCACTGCACTGGGGTCCTCTGGACCTTCCCCGCCCTCACCTGTCACCAGCACCCGCCCTGCCCAGCCCCCTCCAGCCTTCCCCCTCCTCCTCCTTCCCTCCCTTATGATCCTCCCCAACAACCCACCCTCCCTACACCCCCCACTCCTCCCCTGACCCTTCCCTGGCCCCTACCTCAGCCCTGCTCAGGACCCCCACCCTCCCCCAATGCCCCAACCCTCCCTGACCACTCCCTGCTCTCCCGAGACTCCCGGGCCCTCCCCAGCCTGTGCACCTGGAGCTTTTTTCTCCGTTAACCCTAAGCTGCTTCCTTCCCCTTCCCTTTCCTGCTCCTCCCCTTCCTCTCTGGTTCACACCGAGGCTTCTTCTAGACCCTGGTGTCCTGTCGGCGGCTCTCACACCGGCATGTGGTTGGATTTACTGTTTGCAGCAGGGTCTCCTCCTCCTGGAGCTGCAGCTCCCAGCGTCTGGCACCCAGCACTAGCACGTGCTGCATGTGTGCGGAAGGAAATGGGCCTCTCCCTGAAATCCCAGAGGCCGCCTCCACTCGCTGTCATTCCTGAGGATGCCGGCCGCCTCAGGCCGTGGGAAGGGGAGCAAATGGCGCCCGGCCCTGGCCCTTTCTCCTCGTCAGTGTCAGCAGGTGCCCAGACGGGCGATGATCTAAGACAGGGAAAAGCGTAGCTGCCACGAGCTAATGCTTCCTCACCTCTCACATGTCAGCTCTCACACTGTCCCAGAGGCAGCGGGGCATTTTCCCCCACCTGTTAGACTTCCCCCGATAGCCCAGCGTCTCTGACCACCAGCCGCCTTCTTCTCGTCACCCAGGCTCACGTGCCCTTCACGTTGGACGTGCTGCCCGTCCACCGCCCGCCTGATCAGGGAGCAGGCCGTGCCATTCCTCCTCCCGTCTTCGGGTCCGCCGCCTCCATCCCATTCCCTCTCGGTGGCTTCCTGGTTGACCGTCCTCCCTGCAGGGCTCGTCCTCACCTCCATCCGGGCTATTGAGAGAGAGTTTGCTAAAGTGCAGGACTGGCTTCACCCTCCAGCGCCCATCCGTCTAAAGAGCACAGGCTTACCCCCTGGCCGTGACAGTCCAGGCCTCCGTGCGTTAAGCCTGGCTGCCTCTCCAGCCTTCTGTTCATTTCACCAGACTTGTCTATCCAGTGCTCCCCTTAAATGCCGAGGTCCTTTCCCTGGGACCCCTTAGCTCATGCTGCTCCTGTGTCTCTATCCAAACCATGCTCATCCTCCCAGACCCGATGGAAGGCCGTTAACTCTTTGCAGGCTTCAGCCATCTTCCCAAAGCTGGATGTCTTCGCTCTGCAATCCCTGCCTTGCTTTGCCTTCCATTTTCCTGCCGTGCACCACGGGCTGCCTGGCGCCATCCCTGTCTGTGGGAACCATGACCGTCTTGCCGGCACCATCCCTGTCTGTGGGATCTATGACTGTCTTGTCTGGCACCATCTCTGTCTGTGGGATCCATGGCTGTCTTGCCGGGCACCATCTCCATCTGTGGGACCCATGACTTTTCTGCTGGGCACAATCCCTGTCTGTGGGAACCATGGCTGTCTTGCTGGGTGCCATCCCTGTCTGTGGGATCCATGACTGTCCTGCCTGGCACCATCTCTGTTTGTGGGATCCATGGTCGTCTTGCCCAGCACCATCCCTGTTAGTGAGATCCATGACGGTCTTTGCAGCTCCAACAACATCAAGCTAGGGTCTTGTCAAAAGGAGTGGAGACTGGCTAGGGTATTTGTGTAGATGGCCTTCAATGAGGGCAAGGTGACATGTCACGCCCCTTGGCTTGGAGGTTTAGGATTTCTAAATTGATGATGGGGCACTCCTGGTGCTCCTCAGGATATCTTATTTGGAACTGGTCTTTGGTTTCTCACTCTGCTCAGAGCATTTTGAGGCCTATAGACCCTAAGTCAGCAGGAAGTCCTTAGAACTTCGGGGGTAATGAGGCCTTTGTAGAATATCTTGAAGACAGTGAACTCGGCCTGCTCATGTGGTACGGGGGGCACTAGGAGTGAGCCCTGGGCCAAAGGCTGGAGGGAAGGACCCCAGACCTGAGAGGAGTCGGGGAGTGCATGTTCACGTGTCCAAATCAGTGTGCAGTCCCAGGGTTCAGAGCCCAGAGACGGAGAGGAGTGTGAGCAGAAGTCTTGATTTTTATTGTAATTGTTTTAAAGGCAGGCTGGGAGGAGCCTTCGCTGATCTTCTACCCTGGACGTTTCCTAGTCCCTGGGTGGCCTGCTGCTAAACATCAGAGTGAGCTGCAGGATGGACTGACCTGGCTTAAAAGAGGGCGGGAGTGGTCAGAGTGTTGCGGGAAGGACAGTCCCTGAGACTGGATTTCAGTGCTGGGAATCCCCTGCCCCATTGGTATCTCTCTGACCCTCTGTGGTAGACACTCAAACATGAGGAGCATGTAGGGAGACCCCATCTTGGACTCCAGGCTCCAAGACCAACCTTACCCCAATGACCGGGAGCAAGGAGTTATTTCCGTTTCACGAGTGAGGTGAAGCAGGGCAGCATCTCCAAGTGCTCCTGGGACAGTGAGCTTGCCAGTGTACAAGAGGCCACTTGAGGTTGCAGGATTGTCAGAATTCTGCTAGATAGTAAGCCATGATCATGTTCTGTGCTTACAGGAAAGTGCCAGGCTCTGTGTGACAGGGGCACGAGCCTCCTCTGAGTCACTGGAGTGACTAATTTCACATACAAAGGCACACATAGTCTCAAAGTAAAAGAATGGAGGAATATTTACCAAGCCAATGGAAAGAAAAAGAAAAGCAGGGTTACAATCCTAGTATCTGGTAACATAAGACTTTGAAGCAACAAAAATAAGAAAAAGAAAAAAAAAAGAAAAGCATTAGGTAATGGTAAAGGAATCAATGCAACAAAAAACGCTAACTATCCTAAGTATATATGCACCCAATACAGGAGCACGCAGATTCATAAAGCAAGTTCTTAGAGACCTACAAAGAGACTTAGACTCTTGCATAATAATAGTGGGAGACTTTACACACCTCTGTCAATGTTAGACAGGTGAACGACACAGAAAATTAACGAGGATATTCAGGATTTGAACTCAGCTCTGGACCAAACAGACCTAATAGACATCTACAGAACTCTCCACCCAGTATCAACAGATTTTGCATTCTTCTCAGCAGCAAATAGCACTTATTCTAAAATGGACTGCATAATTGGAAGTAAAACATGCTTCAGTTAATGAAAAAAGTAGAAATCATAACAAACAGCCTCTCAGACCAGAGTGCAATCAAATTAAAACTCACTATTAAGAAACTCACTCAAAACCATACAACTGCTTAAAAACTGAACAACCTGCTCCTGAATGACTATGGAGCAGTCATTAATAATAACAAAATTATTATTATTAAATGACAATAATTATTTTTATTATTAAATAACAATAACAGTAAATAACAAAATTAAGGCAGAAATGATGAAGTTCTTTGAAACCAATGAGAACAAAGAGACAACAAACCAGGATCTTTGGACACAGTTAAAGTAGTGTGTAGAGGAAAATTTATAGCACTAAATGCCCACATCACAAAGAAGGAAAGATCTAAAATCGACATCCTAACATCACAATTGAAAGAACTAGAGACACAAGAGCAAACACATTCAAAAGCTACCAGAAAGCAAGAAATAACTAAGATCAGAGCAGAACTGAAGGAGATTGAGACACAAAAAGCCCTTCAAAAAGTTGATGAATCCAGAAGCTGGGTTTTTGAAAAGATTAACAAATTAGATAGACTGCAAGCCAGACTGATAAAAAAAAAAGAGAGAAGAATCAAATGGACACAATAAAAAATGATAAAGGGGCTGTCACCACTGATCTCACAGAAATACAAGCTACCATCAGAGAATGCTATAAACACCTCTATGCAAATAAAATAAAAATCCAGGAGAAATGGATAAATTCCTGGACACATACACCCTCTCAGGACAAAACCAGAAAGAATTCGAATTCCTGAATAGACCAGTTATAAATTCTGAAATTGAGACAGTAATTAGTAGCCTACCAACTAAAAGAAGTCCAGGACTAGAGAGATTTACAGCCAAATTCTACCGGAGGTACAAAGAGGAGCTGGTAGCGTTCCTTCTGAAACTATTCCAAACTACAGAAAAAGAGGAACTTTTCCCTATCTCATTTTATGAGGCCAGCATCATCCTGATCCCAAAAGCTGGTAGAGACATAACAAAACAGGAAAATTTCAGGCCAATATCTCTGATGAACTTCAACGTAAAAATTCTCAATAAAATACAGACAAACCAAATCCAGTAGCATATCAAAAAGCTTATCCACTATGACCAAGTCGGCTTCATTGCTGTGATAAAGGCTGTTTCAACATAGGCAAATCAAATCAATAAGTGTAATCCATCACATAAACAGAACCAATGACAAAAACCACACGATTATCTCAATAGATGTAGCAAAGGCCTTTGATAAAACTCAACACCCATTCATACTAAAAAAGAAAGAAAGAAAGAAGGAGAAAAACAGAGAAAAAGGAAAAGGGAGAGAGAATGGGGGTGTTGCTTTATTGCCCAGGCTAGAATGCAGTCTAAAAATGGGTATGCCTATAATTGTGCTTAATAATAGAGACATGAAAAAAAAATGAGGGAAGAAAATAACAAACAAGCAGCCAACCAATATTTCACTGAAACCTGTAAATAGATGTGATGTGG